AAGCATTTTGTAGCATCGCGTTTGTGTAGATGAGTATTGCCGAGTAAGTAATTATTAAATGGAAGACTGACGGAGAGCCCGGCCAACAGAGTAATGTGGGATCTATCGTGCGTGGGATCTATCTTGCGTTCGTGTAATCGCGTATTGTGTATTGCGGTCGTGTAACTTGCGTCCTTAGGCTAATTTCCGCGTTATTGTATTAATTTCCGCGTTCCGCAGAAAAATATCCGAGAGAAAAATATTAATTCGCCGATTTATTGTTAAGAAACCTGCCGATTTATTCTGAAGTAATCTCTAATGCCCAATTTCTTCACCTCTAGATAAGTTCTAGATAACTTTATCCAACAGATATCTCCCAGAATCGGTTTTCTTCACCTCTGTAAAGTTGGTATCCGACGGATAAAGTTATCCTCTACCCAAAGTAGCGGATATCTGGCAGATATTGTAACCTAAAAAGTTACAGTTGTAACCTAAAAAGTTGCTGTTTTGAGAACGCTTTTGAAAAGACAAATATATAATAATGGATTTGCTCGTGGATCTTATTTTTGAATCTGATGATGATATTGAAGATAATGATGAATTTGTCGAAAGAAGACCCTATGTAATAAGAAATAAACCGAACAATTTTCAAGTGTGGGATGACAAAGAATTTTTCAATCGATTTCGTTTGAAAAAGGATACAGTACTTGAATTGTTGCATGCAATTGAAGACCGACTGATAATACTCCGGAACAAGTATGATTCTGTTCGAATAATAAAGTTAATTTATGAGATAATGATGTATTATTACTTAACGAGTGGTTGTTGATTGAAAATTTTTTAATGTAATTATAGGTCAAGATCATTGACACCGATCAATCAGTTGTTGTTAACGTTGAGATTTTATGCCACGGGCAATTTTCTGCGTGCCTGCGGTGATTTTAGTGGAGTAAGCATTAGTACAGCTTCCCGAGTCATCGCGAAAGTATTCATGGCCATAGCTTCGTTATCAGCAACAATGATCAATATGCCTCAATCTAATGTGGAAATTCGTACAACGCAACAGGCATTTTATGATATGTACAAATTTCCAAGGGTAATTGGATGCATCGATGAAACCCATATTAGAATACAATCTCCCGATGAGTTTATAAAACTATGAAATATAAATTATGAACTGTAACAAAATATATAAACTATGTAAACTGAGAATACTGTATTTATTGTACTTACATTAAGTTTACAAAATAATTTTGAATTCTTATTTACTCCTTTTAAGCAATGACATTCATAAGAAATATTTTTAGGAGGTGAACACGCAGAAGAGTTTAGAAATCGAAAAGGATTCTTTTCTCTTAATACCCAAGTTGTTTGCGATCACAATATGAGAATTATTGACGTTGTGGCTAGGTGGCCGGGTTCTGTTCATGATGCTACAATCTTTCAACATAGTCGACTACGCCGAAGATTAGAAGAAGGCGAGTTTCGTCCGGGAATATTATTTGGAGATAGTGGATATCCAATCAAGAAATATCTTCTTACTCCTTTTTTGCATCCAACTACTGCAGCAGAAAATAGTTACAACAGTGCTCACATACGAACGAGGAATATTGTTGAACGGGTATTTGGAGTTTGGAAGCGTCGATTTCCAGTTTTAAGTTTAGGTATGAGAGTTAAAATAAGGACTGTGCAAGACATCATCGTAGCTACAGCAGTTCTACACAACATAGCCAGAAATAAAAACGAAGAACCTCCTGCATATGTAGATTTACCTGACGAGAAAATTGGAAATGGCAACTGGAATCAACGGGAAGTTCAAGTGGGAGATAATAATGTCAGACAAGCACTCATCGATGAGTATTTTTCAAGGTAAATTTAATGTTTTTAACGAAAATATAAAATATTCATGTGTGTGTTTTAAACTAAAAATATTTATGTTTTAAACTAAAAGTAACTTTTTGATGAGTATTTTTCAAGGTAAATTTAATGCTAAATTTAACGAAAGTATAAAATATTCATGTTTTAAACTAAAAATATTCATGTTTTAAACTAAAAATAACTTTTTTGTATTTGATCTTTGTTATGTAATATCTTACAAAGCTTCTTTATATATAATCTCTTCTTTATATATAATCTATTCTACGGAATATCACATAACTTCTTTGGCACTTTACAGAAATGTATCACTCTTATTTTTTGTAGATCACGCAACTAGAACTTGCTTAACGGTTATTCCAAGTGGTGCCATATGGTCCATTATTAATTACTGCAAATAAAGAGTATCATGTTAACAAATCTATTATACTACACGAATTATATATTGTACGAATTATCATGGAAATATACTTACTAATCATCATCAATAACCTCGTCATTCTCGTTATTCTCGTCATTCTCGTCAATTTCGAACTTTGTGTTGAATTTCTGTAGTGTTTGTCTCTTAATCTGCGCATCCAACTTTAAATTTTCGATTGTCAGTTTCATAATTTTTGACTTATCTTCTATTTCTTGCACTAATAATTTTTTTTGTAACACCAAGAGTTCGTTTCTCAACTGCAAGTTTTGGTCCGTAATTTGAGGATTTTCAGTAAACGGCTTGGTCCGTTTGTTTTTAAAAATAAACTTAGCATCAGTTCCTACAATGATTAATTATGGTTGTATTATTTTTTTTTATATTCTGTGATATTTTATACCTTTTTGTTTATTAATCTCGCGAACAGAATCCACAGCATCGATTTTTTTTTCCATGTGGGGTTTTTCGGTATTCGCCGATTTTTCTACAAAAACACATTACGTTTAATACTTTTCTTAATATTCTTCAAAAAAGGGGTTCTTAAGGACTCTTTCTAACATCTTGTGAGATTGTCAGTAGGCATACTATAGGGGATTAAGAATCAGGCTTACGTGACGGTGGGTCGGGGGCAGGAAGCGGAACGCGTGGGGGCCGCCATAAGCGGTGGGCGAGGGGATGGCGTCGGCAGACGGGGGCCGCCCCGCCGCTGCTTTTCTAACTCAGGATAGTGGGGGGAAGCGAAGGGCACCACCACTCTCGCGCGGCGCGAGAGGGCGGGCCATTCCGAATTCTCCCTCTAGGTCAATCGCGGTTATCTCTCAAAGCTATTTCCAGAGTTATATGCTGCCCTATTGACATCCGCCGAGCGATAAGCGCGAGCCAAAGCGAATCCTCGCGCAATTGTATCGTCAGTTTACTCAGAGGAAAAAAAAGGGCTGTTGAC